TTCTGCTGTGCATGGGGTCATTATGAGTCGGTTCGGTCTCGATGGCACCTTACAACAACAACAACCAGAGCCTGTGCTCTTGTCATGATGCCATTCCAAGCCATTTAAATGATCAGGTTGAACAACTATGCTCATTAGCTAATTTCAGAGAAACTTCAAAATTATTCTCTAATGAAGTGGGTAGAGACCCTATTGCAGTTAGATAATGTAAGTATAAAAAACGATTTCATTTCATGTTTACTGATGTGACACAAAGTCCTCTCCCCACTTAGACTGGATCTCTTAGCACTAGTTCTCAATGATGGACATGGAACAACTGTACTATAACTACTTGCTTCTAAGTAAATGGATTTTAAAAGATTTTCTGAAGAACTTCTGAAATGTTTTCAACTAGACGAAAGGATATAAAATTCAAATAACAGCAGCAATACAATGTGACTCCAGGGAGTCAGCACAAAGTGTTGTTCCTGGACCAGAAGCTTCAGTGTCATGTGGGAATTTATTGGAAATGCAAATTCTTGGGTGCCACTTCAGACAGACTAAATCAGAGACTGTGTGTTTTAACAAGCACTTCAGATGACTGTGATGCACATCCAAGTGTGAGAAGCACTCGTTTCATGAATCATTCATTAAAGCACAGCCTTATTGAACTCAAGACCTGAAAGACGCAATATACACACATACAAGAACCAAATTATTCCATTCTTAAATTGGGAATACTGCATACTACATCCCCTTGCCAAATTAAGTGAGCATATTAACACATACAAAGCAGCAATACGTCTATTAAGTCACCTGTTTCACTATGACTACTGTTCTTATTTTGCTTTGAGATACATCATTTATTTACAACCTGCAGAAAACACTTTGGGAATTGCTGGACTAATAAAAAGAGTAAAACAAAAATATCAAAAATGATTTTTTAGTACCTATAGCATTATTCTGACACTCTTTAGTGACTCTAAACTTCTCTGGACTGGGAGCGCAGAGACCTGGGTTCAGGACTCAGTTCCTCTACTAATAATAGAAGTGATTTGGGGCAAGACACATTAAGCTTTAGGAGCTTTGGTAGCGTAGTGGTTACGAATTGGGCTGTGAATCGCAAGGTCAGCAGTTCAAAACTACCAGCTGTTTCGCAAGAGAAAGATGAGGCTTTCTGCTCCCATAAAGATTTACAGCCTTGGAAATGGTATGCAGGGTCGCTATGAGTTGGAAATGACTCCAAGGCACATCACAACAACAACATAGCATTATTAGTGATAATACTTTTCTCCTCAGTTTTACTCTAAATCTTACTGTTCTTCAAACAACAAAATGTTAAGCTTACATCGAGGCATAAATAAACTTACCTTTAACTCTGGACCTACTCCAAGGGTCTTCAAGGCTTCGGCTTGTTGATAAAGTATGTACTGAAAACCTTCACACACATACCAATCCCAGCCTTTCTCTAAAGGATACATAACATATTTTATATGTTAGTGCACTAATTTGCTAGCTGCAGTGCTACTATATCACTACCATCTTAACTTGGATTTTTTTTTTTTTTTTTGTATCCTTGAATTGGGTTGTCATTCTTATGTTCTCTTACTTCTAATCTGGAAAATTTATACACAAATATTAAAACCAAGCCGTGTTTAAAAAAATCACTCATCAAATTTAAAAATTTTTTCATTATTTTTCTGAAATGTTAAACTAAAAGGTAGGAAAAGACGTCATGCTAAGAAAATTAATAAAAAGAAATACATTCTGCAAATATTTATGCTTGCCATGGTGGTACAGTGGGGCATAAGCAGTGGTCTGCTAACCACAAGGTCAGTGATTCAAATGCACCAGCTACTTGGCAGGAGAAAAATGAAGCCGTCTGCTCCCTTCAAGATTTATAGTCCTGGAAGCCCTAAAGAAGCAGTTTTATTCTGTTCTATAATGTCACCATGAGGAGGAATCAACTGGATGGCAGTGGGTTGGGTTTGGATTGGAATCAATGCCCAGCAGAATCCTAAATTAAGTACACTTCCATTGTTTCTACCACTTTTCTATTTGAACTCACAAAGGTAATAAAGAATATCTGGTGAATGAACGAACAAAATTCAAAATGTGATTATCCAGGAGTACAAGAAAGGACAACAGTATTATTTAAAGAAAATAAATATTTGATGGCATTCTGCTCTTCCAGAAATGGGTCTAGATTGTAGGAGAAACTGAAAGTATTGATCTCTGCCTAGATATCAGGTGTATGCAAGATACTTTCAGCAGGCTATTCTCTTTGATCCTCAAAACAATCATAAGGGATTATAAAGAAATCTGCCACCATAATAGATAGAGCTATATGTTAACTACCAGTTAAATAAAAACTTAAAATCTGATAAGACCCTTAAGTCTTGTCCCTCACTGTTGGATAAGTACTGTAACTGTCTGTAACAGACCTTCTTACATGTAACTTCTGAATTTTGCTAACCTGTGACTCCAAGATCTCCTCCCCTCTGCAGAATTTGAGAGGACTTCTACCTCTTCTTTAGCTAAATGTCTCATCCCTTAAACCATTTGCCACTCAGTTGATTAGACTCATAATGACCCCCAAGTGTGTCAGAGTAGAACTATGCTCCACAGAGTTGTTTCTCCCCTTCCCCCCGATTTGTGGGTTTATTCATAAGAATACTATTAAAAAAAAAAAAAAAAAGCTTTTATTGTGAATTGAGTGATAGTTTACATGGGAGAATAATCGGTTTTCATTGCAATGATTACAATCTCCTCCATGCATCATCATTCAACAGTATTTGCTTCCATGACCTGTTTTTTGTTTTGATAGACACAGAAACACTTAGGAATATATAATCATTTAAACAACCCAAGGGCACATCCTCCAAGCCTGCCTCCTGGCCACCAGCACACAGCCTTTCTCTTTCAATGAGTCTAGAGTCCTCATCTCTGCCTCTATTTCTGGTGTTGCTGCTTCTCTGGATAGGGACCCGCATTCCGCTCATACCCTTCTCCCTTGATGGTCCTAGGATTCTCTGTTCCTGGACTATAAGATTAACTACTCCCTTCTTTATATTACAAAACTACTTTTACAGTTGTGACAATCACAATTAGTCATGATAACAATTATTCACTATTGAATCATAAGAATCTTATCCCCATCTCCTTTCACCAGATCCATCTAGACTAGATGAAAAATATTCAGTGGGGATTCTACGTTCCCCGCACACTCTGAAACTAAACTCCTTATTAAAAACTAGTAAGCCAGCCACTTCGTGCCTTTATAGCTGCCCTCACCCCCCATTTCAGGTAGCCAGTGTCTAAATTTCTCATCCCCATCAACCCTGTGTACAGAGGGGATATGTTTGATCCTTGATGTGAAGGCTCTTTCACTCTCGGTTAGTATTTTGAGCTACTACACCCACAAGTATAGGTTAAATTCATCAAATTGCAGCAATTTACACTTCTTTCCTTTACCAAATTTATTTTCCTCTAGTCGAGTTCTGATCATCAAGCCATTGAAACGAGGTCAAATGTGTGCTATTGGCAAGTCTGGGGGTTCTTGTACATCTCCCCTCTTGTCAAATCAGCTGGACACTTCACTTTCAGCTCTAGCCCTCCATGGCTAGGTCCTTGTCCATGGGTATAGGAGTCCCCAGGTCTCATAACACCTTGGATCAACCAGCCCTTCCTCTTCTCTTCCATAGAGTTTTCAAGGTCTGATTTTGAGAAGTAGATTGTCAGGCCTTTCTTCCAAGGTGCCTTTGGCTAGACTGGAACCAATCTTTCCATTAGGAGCCAAGTGTGTTATTCATCTATACTACTCAGGGGCTTTGGAAAGGGTCTTTAGTTATATGAAAAACAGAACAGAAAGCCTATAATTTTGATGCATTTGGAAGATGACAGAATAAAAGTTCTTCAAGCAATATACATGTACAGGTTCTTCTTCCTGCTCAGTGTTCTTTGAGACTGACAGTCTTATTTTAAATTCTGAGCCCCTGTGTTTCTATTTTACATAACAAAAAGTACTACAATTCTCCTTTTATAGATTAAGAAAAATAGAAGAAGAGTTTGAATACAAGACACTTGACATCTTAATTGAAGCATCAGATGCTCCTTCAGCAATTTAAACTATTTAGATAAGTACAGTCAGAATTAACCAGGTCTGTTGTTGTTAAGATCCATTGAGTCAGTTCTGAATCACAGCAACCCTGAATAGCGTTTCCAAGGAGTGGCTGGTGGGTTTGAAGCACCAACCTTGCAGTTAGCAGTCCAGTGCTTATCTTAAAGTGCCACACTAGGCTTAAGTTTAATAAAACTTGTTCTTGTTGGTAAGTGCTACTGAACTGGTTCTGACTCATAGCAACTCTATGTACAACAGAACATAACACCGTCCGGTCCTGTGCCATCTACACAATCGTTGTTAAGTGTAGCCTATATCTGCTGCCACTATGCCAATTCATCTAGTTGGGTGTCTTCCTCTTTCTCGCTAATCCTGCACTTTCCAAGCATGATATACGTTTCCAGGGACTGGTCCTCCCGATAACATGTCTGAGCTATGAGAGACAAGTCTCACTATCCTGACTTTTCAGGACCATTATGGCCATACTTTCAACACAGATTTGTTTTCCGTGCTACTTTTAACCATCTTCTTCAACATAATTCAAATGCATCAATTCTATTCTATAGTCTGCCTTTTTCAATGTCCAACTTTCACAAGCATATGCAACCACTGAAAATATAATGGTCTGGGTCAGGTGTATCTTACTCCTCAAACTGATCTCTTTGCTCTTCAACACTTTAAAGAAGTCTTGTGCAGCAGATCTGCTTAATGCAATATGTCATTTGATTTCTTGACTGCTGTTTACATGAGTGCTGATTGTATCTCCAAGAAAAATGAATGACAAATTCAATCTTTTCTCCATTTATCATGTTATTTATTGCTCCACTAGTGAGGATCTTTATTTATTTTTTACACTGAGGTACAATCTATATAGAAGGTTTATAGTCTTTGATCTTCATCAATAAGTGTTTTTAAGTCCTCTTCATTTCTAGCAAGCAAGGTTATATCATCTACATATTGCATGTTGTTAAATAAAATGTTTTGTTGTTAAGTGCCGTTGAATGAGTTCCAACCCATAGTGGCCCTGTACAGGGTTTCTGAGGAGAGGCTGATAAGCTTGAAATGCCAACTTTGTGACTCAAACTGACCTCATAGTCTAGAGCACTAAATCACAGAGCCACACCAAGACTTGTGCTAACTGAAACAATCACTATTAAAGGTTGAAATCCTGGTACAGTGCTGTAGAATAAGCACTGGACTGCTAACCTCAAGGTCACAGTTAAACCCATCAGTTGCTCCTTCGAAACCCTATACAGGCTCAATATGACTCAGAACTGACTTGATGGCACCTATCAACAATATCATTAAAGGTTAAACAGGAAAACAAAACAAAATTTAGAAATTCTTCTGCTATTCTGCTAAGAAAGCCAATGCATTTCAAATAATCCCCTTCCTCCCCTTCAAACTAACCCTCTGCCATTAAGTCAGTCCTGTCTCATAGCAACTCTAGAGGACAGAGTAGACTACTCCAGAGGTTCCTGAGGCTAGAAATATGTGATGAAGCAGACTGTTAGATCTTTCTCCAGATGACCATCTTTCTGGCTATTATCCTTTATGCTTAACCTACTATACTACCAGGGGACTGTGTTTCCTATATAGGTATTTCATTTATATACATATACAAGTGGAGGCTTTAAAAAAGTTCATGGAAAAATTCCATTATCTTTTCATTTCATTTGCCACAAAGTTTTCGAAGCCTCCCTTGGTGATAGAAATGATGCTGGAGATGGCATGACAGAATTCTGCAAAATCAATGATTTGTTAATTTCAAATACCTTTTTAAAAAAAAAAAAAAAAAAAGCTTTTAGGGTGAATTGAGTGAGTGAAGGTTACAGGGCAGCTCATCAGTTTTACATTCAGCAAATCAATGTAACGATTATAATCCCCTTCATGCAACATGAGCTAACAGTATTTACCGCTACCTTTTTTGTTTTTTTAAAAATGTTTTATTGTGAATTATGTGATAGTTTACATGGGAGAACATTAGTTTTACACTCATCCTATCATTGCAACGATTATAATCCCCTTCATGCAACATGAGCTAACAGTATTTACCGCTACCTTTTTTGGTTTTTTAAAAATGTTTTATTGTGAATTATGTGATAGTTTACATGGGAGAACATTAGTTTTACACTCATCCTATCATATATTATATCATTTCATTGCTATGGTTACAATCCCCTCCATGCATCATTAACCAACCAAAGGGTATACCCTGCAAGCCGTCCCCCCCCCCCCCCCCGCCCCCGGTCATCAGCACACAGCCCCTCTTCCTC